AAAAAATATAAAAAAAAAATAAAAAAAAAACTAATAATTGTATAAAAGAGTTCATTATAACATTAGTTATTATATGTCTATTCTATTTCACGTAAAATTCTAAATTTTAATATAACAGAACAAATCAATTTACTTCAAGATTATCCCATGGGTTTGTAGTAGTTTAAGTATTATAATTAACTGAGTGACTATTTAATATCAGTTATATTTTTCTCCAAGTTCACTATTACCTCATGATCATTAACTTCATATTTTTATTATAATTTTTTTATATTTATTTGATTTGTCATACTGGAAATTTCCAACATTCATATTAAATATTTTTGTATTGTCTTATCTTTGTTTGGATTTCCTATTTTTGTAAATATACTTTTTAAAATATTGTGTTAGTATTTAATATTTCGTTGGTACCTTGTGCTGGGCTCGGTTACTCTGTTGGGGAAGGGTTGTGCTTGTTCGTTTAGTTTTTGTTTGTTTAGTTCTTCTTATTGTGTCCGTTGTTATTTAGGATTCGTGTTTTTNATGAATAGACCTTACAATTATATAAAACAATTATTTCAAAATCACAATTTTTTTATATAAAACATGTATCACGTGCATCGCACGTACTCTTAACTAATTATTATAAATTACAAAGCCGCATTTATTGCTTAAGTACAAAATATACCTATCTTTTTTTTACCTTGAAAAATAGAAATAGTAAAAAAAAAATGTGCTATTTAGACACTTGGGCAATTCTTGGCTGAGTGACAGCGAGGGTTATGGTTGTGATAAACACCCAAAAAATATAAAAAAAAAATAAAAAAAAAACTAATAGTTGTATAAAAGAGTTCATTATAACATTAGTTATTATATGTCTATTCTATTTCACGTAAAATTCTAAATTTTAATATAACAGAACAAATCAATTTACTTCAAGATTATCCCATGGGTTTGTAGTAGTTTAAGTATTATAATTAACTGAGTGACTATTTAATATCAGTTATATTTTTCTCCAAGTTCACTATTACCTCATGATCATTAACTTCATATTTTTATTATAATTTTTTTATATTTATTTGATTTGTCATACTCTCCATTGCAGTGATGTTGGAAATTTCCAACATTCATATTAAATATTTTTTTATTGTCTTATCTTTGTTTGGATTTCCTATTTTTTTAAATATACTTTTTAAAATATTGTGTTAGTATTTAATATTTCGTTGGTACCTTGTGCTGGGCTCGGTTACTCTGTTGGGGAAGGGTTGTGCTTGTTCGTTTAGTTTTTGTGTGTTTAGTTCTTCTTATTATGTCCGTTGTTATTTAGGATTCGTGTTTTTGGTTTGGGCCGTTGCCCTTTGTGCGCCAGAATGGGAGTGGACATTATCTTTTTAGGATCAGCTCCTGTCTTTATTCTCTTATTGGGAGCTTTGTAGTTTTTCTTAGTGTTTGTCGTATTTGTTGTGTAGTGAGTCTTGTTTTTGGTTTCTACCGTTGCTATTGTCGGGATTCTAGGCAGTCGTCTGACCTGACCTCACAGTTTATTCAACTTTTGGTTGTATTATTATTAACTAGGGGTTGTATCTTTACATATTTGTGCGTTTTGTTACATAATATTCTTTATCGTTCCGAAAAAAAAAAATGTTTATATTTAAATTTTTATATAGTTTGAAGAATAAAAAAGGAATCGAGTTGTTATAGTGAGGTATTCATTGTTTCTTTAAGGGTAAACATGAGGTGAGAATATCATGAACTAACTTTATAGCTCATCTTTTATCTAGAACTACCTTGAATAAATTCAAGAGAAAATGTATAAATGTAGCTCCATAAAATAGGATTAATCAACTTTGGCCTTAATTTTTTTTCAAGCACAATTACAAAATTTGGAAGATCTATTAATTCGAATAAGTATATTTTGATATATAATTGTCCATCTTTTGGGTAACTAAGTGTCAGAAAAAAATTTAAAAAATTGTTTTCACATGTTGAGATATTGATACTTTAAATTTAGAGTATAAATTTAACTCATGATCACATTGATAGATGCCATGACTATAACTTTTCGATTCATAACAGTATTGTATTCTCGAACTTAGTTAGCAAGATATTAAAGACAATAGAATTATTCGTATCCAAATTCATTGTTAAAATACCGTACAAATTAAAAGGATTCAATCCGCAAAAATCCAATTTTGGTCCGTTAACTTGTTCATTGTCCATTTTTGGTACACTATCTTTCTCCTCATAAAAATGGTTCATTATGTTACACTTTTCATCAGTTTTAGTACGCTACTCCAGTTGGCGAGATTACAACATTACGTGGATCAGGATTGGAACTACGTGGTGGGATAAGATATTGACGTGGTAGGATAAAAATCTGATTTGGCATCTCGTAATCCCGGACCACGGGATTAGTGTACTAAAACTGATGAAAAGTGTAACATAATGGACTATTTTTTATGAGGAAAAAGATAATGTACCAAAAATGGACAAAGGACAAGTTAGCGGACCAAAATTGAATTTTTGCCGGATTCAATCTATAAAATATGCACTCATCTATTATGCTTGTGATTCTTCACTCATTTGCCACATCAAAACCAAATTATTATTATTATTATTATTATTATTATTATTGCTATTATTATTATTATTATTATTATTATTATTATTATTATTATTATGTAGTGATGAGATGTACAAATATTTTTTTATGCAAAACTAAGAAAGGAGTCATTCACTTATGAGAAATGCTTAGTCAAAACTTCTTGATTATTCTTTATAGTCGAATGTCGAACAATGAGAAAATTGGAGGAAGAAGTATCTTCAATTTTACAAACTGAAAATTAGTTATCTACAATATTAAGGAATGATTTTTGTGAAAAAATAAATCGTTTGACTAAGAAGTCCTTATATTTGATATAATTTTAATAGGAATATTGTAAAAACATAATTTCAATAAAAAATCTAATCAGCCAAACTAATTTAAACACAATAAGGATCTATTCATATAATAAAATCTTGTAAACAAATTTTGTAGTGTAGGTATTAGACAATATAATAGTAATGATTACAATTTTGATATCCAACAGTAGTATTTCCCAAGTTGAATAGGTATTAGACATTCTTTTACAATATAATATTAATGATTGCAATTTTGATTTCCAACAACAATTTTTTCCCCTTTTCTTTTAATTTTTGTGTTTTGGATTTGGTCCTGCATTAGTGGTACTTCCTTTTCTTTTAATATTTGTGGTAAAATTGTGGGGAATATTAAGGCTTCTAGAGGATTAAGACAAGGGGATCCCTTATCCCCTTACCTTTTCATAATTCTCTCAGAAGCATTATCAAACCTCATAAATCAAGCCTCCATTCATAATGGGTTCCAGGGATTGAAAATTAGTAAATATTCCCCTGCTTTTTCTCATCTATTTTTTACGGATGATTCATTAATCCTATGTCAAGCAGATATTTTCCATGCTCAGCTTCTTTTGAACATTTTGAAATCCTATTGCACCGCTTCTGGTCAGGCTGTTAATATGTCAAAGTCTAATATATTTTTCTCTCACAATTCTTCTCCTGAATTGAAAAACTCTATCTGTCAAATTTTCTTTGGTATTGGTATTGTGAAATCCTCTAAATACTTGGGTCTCCCACTTGGAATTGGTAAATCCAAAAAAGAAACCTTTAGTTTTGTTAGGCAGTGTGTAGTATCGAAAATAGCTAGTTGGAAAAATAAGTTGTTGAGTGAAGCTGGGAGGGATGTGCTTATTAAATCTGTCTTTAATGCCCTTCCCATATATGTAATGTCTGTTTTCAAAATTCCAGTGGGTGTGTGTGTAGATATCTGTAAGAATATTGCTAATTTTTTGTGGGGAAAGAAGGAGAGTGATAAGGATAGAATCCATTGGGCTAGTTGGGATAAATTGGCTAGATCAAAAACGGAGGGGGGGCTGGGTTTCAAGCATTTTGGGGCCTTAAATAATGCTCTTATTATTAAACAACTATGGAGAATTTTGACATGTCCTAACCTACTTATGAGCAAGGTTATTAGAGGCAGATACTTCCACAACCAAAATCTAATGAATGTGGAGAAGAAAAGCTCTGATTCATGGATGTGGAAGAGCTGGCTTGGGGCTATAAAATTTTTGAAATTGGGGATGAGATATCAGATAGGAAATGGGCTAGCTGTTAGGGTTTGGGAACATCCATGGATCCCAAATTCCCCTGGCTTTATTCCTATCTGTAATTTTGAGGCAGATAAAAATTCTTTGTGTAAAGTTTCTGATCTTCTGTTGGCAGGGGGAAAGGGCTGGGATGAAGAGCTTATTAGACAAACTTTCTCTCCATTTGATGCTGATAATATTCTCAAAATCAACATTAGTCAAATGGGAGGGAAAGATAGACTAGTGTGGGATGGGGACAGGAAGGGTAAGTTTACTGTGAAAAGTGCTTATAAAATGATTTTGAAGTATGCTGATGAGCAGCAACTTAAGCACCAAGCTAGTGGGAGTGGAGAGGCCAGGAGACATATGTGGCAGAAAACATGGGCACTTCCTATCAAACAAAAGATTAAGACATTCATCTGGAGGTGCTGGCATGATTTTCTGGGGACAAAGGTTAATCTCAGTAAGAAGGGCATGGAAGGTGGATTAATTTGCAGTTGGTGTGGTACAGAGGAAGAAACTATGGAACATATATTTTTCTATAATGATAGGGCAATCTTGGCATGGAAGATAGCAGGTTTAGAATGGGAGCAGTTGAAGAAGCAGCCACTGAAATTTCAGGAGTGGTGGGAGGACCTCTGCTCAATTAAGACAACTCAAAATTACAAAGACAGAGTAAGCCTCTCCACTTATATTTTATGGTGGCTTTGGAGGACTAGAAACAATTGGATATTCAGAGGAGAGAGGTTGGATGAATACAATATGGTGAAAAGAGCAAAACTGGAATGGCTAGAATTTGAAGAAGCTCAACAGATGAATAAAAATTGTAATAGAAATGAAATAGAAACAACTGGGGAAATGGGTGCAGATGGGAACATAGGAGTAGGGTATCAGGATCTTGATATCAGTGCTAAATGTTCACTATCTGATGGATATCTCATGCAAGGTTGGGCATTTAAACATGGAATGGAAGCAGATAGGTGGTGGATACCTATTCAAAAGCAGCAGATGACAGAGGGGGAAAGGTTATTATTGTTGAGGACATGGCTTCGGAAAGGGAGGATAGCCAGCTGGGATAAGGTGGTCATTGCATTCAGAGATAAGAAATTGTGCAAAAGGTTAAAAGAACCCACATGCTTTCCAGTTGAACTACATGTTGTAGTAGAAGATATTGTTATTTTGTGTTCTTCCTTTTCTTCATGTGTTTTATTGTAATTATCTTGTAATTAGTGTTGGGATGATTTTTTTGACCAGTTTGGTTGTATAGGGGGAATGACCTTCATATCCCTCGTTGGTTTGTAATAGCTATGACTATTAGGAATTTTGGCAATCCGTTGATTGCTCGACATTGTTGTATTTTGAGTTTCTGTCTTAATGAATATTTTGTTGACAAAACAAAAAAAAGGGGTATGTTTGAAATAAAAAAATTAATTGAAAATTATTACTAACCAAACCATGCTTATCTGAATTAATAAAATTTATAAAACTTTTTAATAATGCTCAACAGGAAAAGTAGAGTGAAGCTAACACTTTATACAACAACAACATACCCAGTATATTCCCAACAGGTTAGGGTCTGAGAGTCAATTGTACGCAGACCTTACCCTTGTAATTATACAAAGAGGCTGTTTTCGTAGCGTGCATTGATAATATTTGATTTTATTTATTAAATATGTGAATATAATTATATTTAAAAAATGAGATTAGATGAAATAATTTTTATGTGATTTTTTTTTTTTTAAAACAAACCTTGACTAAACAAGATAAAAAATTCTGACATACAATCATCCCCTCTATACTTGTGGGACTAGTTTTGAATTTTTTCCTATCTACGTCGGATGCCAGCGTGTAAAAAAATAAGCCACGTGTGCGCCACGTGTACGCCACGTGTGCGCCACGTGTACGCCACGTGGCGCTCCGGGCCAGAAATAGTAAATCCGGCGAAAAAGTCCTACTTTTGATCATGTTTTAAAAGCTGTGGGACTATTCATATTTTATCCATTCCGTCGGGACCAAATTTGTCACCCCATATATCTGCGGGACTAATTTTGAAAATTTTCCACTATTTTATTTCATATAAATTTTAAATTTTAAGATAATAACAAATCAGTCTACTTCAAGATTATCCAACTTACCATACGCCAAAAATTGTTATATAGGTTTGTGGTAGTTTAAGTAGGCTAATTAACTGAGTGCATATATAGGATTTTATTTTTTTCAAGTTCAATATTACCTCTCGATCATTAATTATAGACTCTATTGTACATTAAAATCCTATAATCAGATTTTGTAGCTTAGGTATTAGACTTTCTTTTACGATATGATAGTAATGTTTACAATATAGATATCGACAAAGACTCTATTGTACATTAAAATCCTATAATCAGATTTGTAGCTTAGGTATTAGACTTTCTTTTACGATATGATAGTAATGTTTACAATTTAGATATCCAACAATAATATTATTCATGGTTGAATTAAAATTAATATAATATAATGCAATAAAAATGAAAGGGCATTACTATTTACCGTCCCCTATTACTAGTCACCGCTCCCTTGGACGATTTTTTCATTTTCATTTTTTCAAAACATATCAGAGCAAAGTGTATGGCGAAATGTCTTCAAATTTCGAGGTACGAAATTTGATCAATAATATTATATTTTGATTATAATTTTTCTATATTTATTTGATTTGTCTTGCTCCCCATTACATTTATGTGTGTGTGTGTGTAATGCTGACGAAGTGTATAATATTAGGTTTCATCTTTGTCATGCGTTGGAAAGTATATTTAAGTTCTGGGGAAAATTTCAAAATTAGTCCCACAGATATAAGGGGGTGACAATTTTGATCCCGACGGAATGCAAAAAATATGAATAATCCCACAGCTTTTGAAAAATGATCAAAAGTAGGACTTTTTCGCCGGATTTACTATTTCCGGCCCGGAGCGCCACGTGGCGCACACGTGGCTTATTTTTTACACGCTGGCATTCGACGTAGATAGGAAAAAATTCAAAACTAGTCCCACAAGTATAGAGGGGGGACATTTCTGGTCCCGATGGAATACAGAAAATTCAAAACTAGTCCCACAACTTGTAAGAAAATATGAACACGTCGGATGCCACGTGGCGTTTCAGGCCGGAAATAGTAAATCCGGCGAAAAAGTCCTACTTTTGATCATTTTTTAAAAGTTGTGGGACTATCCATATTTTCTGCATTCCGTTGGGACCAAAATTGTCACCCCTTATACCTGTGGGACTAATTTTGAAATTTTCCCCTAAGTTCTGTACAGAAAAATTATGTCACTATAGTTGAGAAGATAACATGGGAAGTTTTAGAATTTTCGCTTAGATAAAATGAGTTTTTTTTTTTTTTTGACGAAACGATAGGCATATTATATATCAAAACGCACAATTGTGCAAGAAAGCAGCCCAAGGCTGAATATTACAACCAAGAACTAAAAACTGGGAGGACGGATCGAAACCGCCTAGAACCTCGCTAGCCACACTAGAAAATAAAACACACAATACACAACTACACCAACACACCAACTACGAACGCTCCCCACAGGAGAATATGAAACGCCCCCCACAGGGGAATCAGAACCGGGGCCAACGGCCCAAACCTAGAAAACAAGACCAAAATCACACACAGAGGCTCAAAGGGGCCAACAGCCCAAACCAAAAATACATGCCCTAAACAAACACAAACACAAACGACACCAAACTAACAAACACAAAAAAACTAAGCAAAATAAGACGAGCCCTTCCTAAGCAGCTTAACCAAGCAGAGCCGGTGGGTACCAAGTCGACCCCGAGTGAATCCCACGGCTACAGGACCAACACGCAACTGCCAAACACCAACTCGGTGGTTACGTTATCAATAACTATTCAAAATAATAAGAAATGTGCTATTTAGACGATAAAAATAAAATATAAGCATTCAACAAAAATTGAAAAAAAAATATATATATATTTAGTAATATAAGATAAATGACAATTTTATCAGTAAATTTTGTGGAACTATAAATCAAATTTCAATAACTAATTAGNTTTATTATTATTTTTATAATTCATAATTAATTATATATTATAATAAATAATTATTATTATTAAAATAGAGTGTACGGCCGGCGGGGCCGGTCCGGTTTGGTCCGTTCAGACCGCGATCGTGCGCGGTTTTTCTGGCGTCCGGCCGCCGATCGCGATCGGCTGAGAAGAGTTGAGAGAGTGGTGGACTTCTGATGAGGTTGAGAGAGTTGGTTGTGGCTCAATCATCCCCTCGGTGGTGTTTGGGGCTGAGATATGTGCGGTTCCACTCTCTTCATTTCTCCCGCTATTCTCTTCCATATGTGCCGCTAATAATGTACAAAATGAATAGACCTTATAATTATATGAAAAAATTATTTCAAAATCACAATTTTTTTATATAAAATATATATCTCGTCTATTGCACGTGCTCATAACTAGTAACTATAAAATTACAAAGCCGCATTTATTGCTCAAGTACAAAATACACCTATCTTTCTTTCTTTTTTTTTTTACCTTGAAAGATAGAAATAGTACTTAATAAANCTTGAAAGATAGAAATAGTACTTAATAAATTAATAATTACAAGGTGATGTCAACTTACATCAATACAATTTGGACAATAACCTTACACTCGCGGAAAATCATTACCAACAAGTAGCAATGTCTATTGGACAAGATATCGCAAAATCTCGCTTATACACTCTTATATCTATATATATGGGGACAATCTTCTTGACATATGTACATTAAAGAGAGAAAAAAGATACAGAGAGCTAGAAAAAATTTAAAAATCTTGACATATACATTAAAGAGAGAAAAAAGATAGAGAGAGCTAGAAAAATTTAATAAAGAAAGAAAAAATGGGGAAGGAAAG